GTGAGTAGAATACTTTCTTCCACTGAGATTCAAGCTATTAAGCTCAAACCAAGGTACCAAGATGTTTTTCTTAGAGTATAGTTTATGGGTCAACCCCAACACTTCACATATGTCTGATACATTTATCCTTTTCCCAGATCATTGTTCTCACATATTTTCATCTGATATCTGAGGTAGCTCTGTTTACTAATCTTACACAGAGGTAAATACCATGACACTTATTCACTATAGTACACTAGTCCGTATCAGTTGGGCCTCCCCAATCATTATATAGGTACTGTACCTTGAGTTCTCCCTTAATACTACCAGTATACATAGTTAAGATTATAGCACGGACACTGGTATAATTCATATAAAAGAACATAATGCATGCAAATTACCCCTTTCCAATGTTTACCATTTTCTGTTACACTCCCCACTAGAAAACGTAAATATTCCCTCAGCGCGGTGAGTTTGAATGTTGTGTAGCTGTAAGCTGAATCAGAAGAGATTATAGAGACCCTTACTAGTGTACACAGTACATCAGTTTCACGCATAAAAAAATATCTTAGCCTTTGTCTTTAATCAAGACGTCGTCAGGTCATGAGACCCACTAATCCTCCACCAAACAATCGGTGACCTGACATTGCATCAGAAGGCCAGTACACAGTACAGGGGGTACTCATTATCCCTGCTTATTAGGGACCAGAAAAAAGCCACTGATAGTGAATCCACGGATAAAAGGGAATTAATTCCACTGAGAATCAATAGGAATCGGGTCAAATCGGGACCATCACATTGTAACTGACTCTCATAAGTTTAATTTATCTTTTAGCACTTATATACCTTAGAAACATTTGTAAATCATTTGATCAGACATTACTGTATTTTACAAAATTATTCAACTTAAAACTTGTTTAAGGTACAGTACTTAAAGTCATTTGGGGATGATGTGTTGGCGCAGGGCAGGCTACCTATCCACGCAGCCGTACAACTGAGCACACACCTGTTCACTTACTCATTTCAATGAAAGTGAAAGTGGTTCATTGAAACACATTATTAATATGTTTTAAAAATAAATAATTTTAAATTATCATTGATTTTTATTAGTTTACCTTCAAAAGTAAAGATGTTGGGCTTGATTGGGTGGATGGAGGTGGATGTTGGGAGAGGAGGATTACTTGGAGGATGAGAGGCGTCACATCAGGAGGGAGTGCAGGCATACAGTTATAGCCCAGTAACCCACCGCCTCAACACACATTCACTTCCCTTATACAGCGGTCCCTCGGTTAACGAACGCAATTCGTTCCAGAAGGTCGTTTGTTAACCGAAACCGTTGTTTCAATGGGATTTTGGGTAATTGGATCCAGCTCACCGAAAATTACATACAAAGTAAAAATAAATGCAGTAAAGTACACTTACTTTGATGTGTGTATGTAGAAGGCTCCTTGTTGATGATGATGATGATGATGGGAATTAGAAGTGGGGATGGCGAAGGGAGAAGAGAAGGAAGTGGGGGTGGAAGAGAAACCACCCCATGCTGCATGCCGTCATTTCGCCCATAAAATTTTAAGTTCATTAGGTGTAATTCAAGATTATTTTCTTTTAAGTCAACACTGCACTGCACTATATATTGTCAATATGTAAAATAAATTTCAGAATAACCAATAATTGTACTGTAAAAATGTAAAAATAGTTTATGTTCAAGAGAGTCTCAAGCAAGATGTTACCTCCACTGAGCAGAGACACAAACTAACGCCTGCTGGGTGAGTCAAGTGGCTGATTGGCGCACCAAAAACTAGTTTCCTATACTGCAATTATGTTAAATTAGTGTTAAAATGACTAAAAAGTTTATTATAAAACTTGGAAAATTATTGAATAGTACAACCTTCTTGATATTTACTCAAATGGGAACGAATTTAAGCCCTAGAACCGATTACTGTATTGGCGGACTAATATTTCAGCTGGTGAGCAAACGAAAACATTTTGACATGATGTCGTAAAAATTTCATTAACCGAAATTTTGTTCATTAACCGAATTGAAGATTCTTGTGGAAGGTAATTCGTTAACCGAAATTTCGTTAACCGAGGGATCACTGTATAGACACACTGAGGCTCTTTTTTTTTTTCTTATTTTATTGTTTTATATAATATTTTCATTATTTCTAAGCTACATAAGCGTATTGTATTGTAATGATTTTCCCACAACTTTTATATTTTCATTACAAGTAACAATATACAGTACATGGCGAGTTAGCAACGTAGTTATAGCCCACCGCCTCCACATACCCTGTATGTTCACTTCTCACACATACATGCCCATGCTTTGCCGTGTAAATTTCACCTTCTTAAGTATGGTATGGGATGGATGGTTGTTTCAGGCATATGCTAGGCACTTGAGTTGTCAGACACACGCTCTCCATTCTTTTCATGACGGATTACTTCTAATTTCACTTCCATCCCATAGCTACTACGTTTCCTTTTAGCCACTACACCACTTTGCTTTAGTTTAGAACTCATGGCTACAAAAAAATTTCACCAATGTGATCAAATGCACAAAAAATCCTTGGAGCATGAGTGATGCCGGCGAGAAAGTTAAACTTTGAGAGAAGGGGAGGCGGGAGGGAATTTCAAAGGCTTATGCCCTCAACAGATGAATTTCGTCTGCGGAATGCCTAATGGTTTCCGGGAATTTTTATGTATAGTTCTACAATAATTTGGCCTCGTAACTGTAGATCCACGAATAATGAATACAGTACTCTGATTCTGGGGACCCCCTGTGATATGAGATGACTAATCTCCCACCCCACCTCCACCTGACATTGCATCAGGTCAGGTCAGTGACATGTGACCCACTAATTCCCTACCCTACCTACAGTTTGGGTTTGCATAAATTAGTACAGCTCTGTGCGAATGGAAAATTCCAGTTTACTCTGTGACACAGAGCTTCATTCACGAGGCAACTCGCCGGCTCATATCATATAACTTTTTAGTTTTTTAAATATATTTATTAAACGAAACTCTTAGATAAACTATTTAGGATTATTTTAGGAAAAATTGATGTTTCTAACTTAATTAAAACTGCATTTACAGACTCTGATGTTAACATTTCTTATGTTTTTTTCTTGAAATACATTGAGACCCCATCATTATATTATGTCAAAATATTTTGTTTAAGGATCTTTTATTGGAAAAGTCTTGTAGAGAATTTAGGATCATTTTGGTATGAAATTCAACTCTAACACAGAACAGTTGCTATGAATAAAAGTTTATACACTTTTTCACTAGCCCTAAATATCTTTGCTCATGCCTGTGGTCTAAATGTAATGGAAGAGTGTTTATTCATGCGAGATGAGATGATGAGAAGCATAGTTTAGACTCTTGGGAAACTTTCCCCAGTACAGTAAAGCCTCAAATAATGACAGTAATGGGTCCTTCAGTATTGCAGTGTAAGGTGAATCATCGTAATGTGAATCATTAATTACCATTAAAATAAAGCAATAATAATGAGATGCGTTCCAAATTCTGACCTTTTCATATTTCTGTATGGCTTTTTACGCTCTTTTTCCCCCAAAACAATAAAATTAATGAAAAATGTAAACTATGGTATATTCTTTAAATAATACTCATGAATGCACCTTATACAATATAAATCAATATTAATAACACAGTAATATCTCCGTTAGCCAAAATACCTTAAACCCAGAAATCTTCGATAGCCAGAAATGAAATTTGCACGGAAAATCATTCCCAAAGCCGGAATTTAAAAATAAATTTCCGGTTTTAGGAACAAAGTTTCCGAGGTTGAAAATCGAGAGAATTTTCTGAAAATGTCTTGAATAAATATGAAAGTTAAAGTATTTTTGGGGGGAGAACCTGACCTGACCTGACTCAATGTCAGCTGGAGGTAGGGTGAGGGATTAGTGGTCTCATATTACTGACCTTTTGTTGGAATGTCAGGTCACCCTTTCTTGGGTGGGGGATTAGTGGGTCTCATGACCTGAAGATATCTTGAATAAACTTGAAACCTGAAGTATTTTTAGAGAGATTGTGATCAGTATAAATGAACAAAGTTGTATCCCTTCAACATTACATTACATAACATTTTGAAATATGGAGTGAGAAAGCTGAAAGGTGTGGATGATTAGAGAGATGGAGTGGTAACATGCACCAGTGTTGCCAAGTGATAAGCTCCTCAACAGCTGATGTTTATCTCGCTGCCAGGCAGTCACACAACAAGACCCTCACTGGATGCTTGTTGCCTTAATTCCTGCGTGTGTTTTAGCTTGCCAAGCACATTGTAGGATTTGAAGAAGTTGATGAAGAGTTTGTTCAGGAGTCAGGTGGTGAGGTGACATGCCAAGACACTTACACAGCACACACATTAACAGCACTACTAAACCATTGTCTTATAACATTTTACATTATAATTTCCATTTTGAAATTTATTGATGCATGATAGCTCGACAGGGCTACTTTTGTGCTTAGACAACTGATCAATGAATAAACCAGGGCATATGGAGACTCATTATACATTAGTGATGTCACAAAACTTTGAAACTGCAACCACAACTTCTGAGCAACCACATAAATTATTACAACCTGTATTCAATTGTGCGAAGTTAATTACTAAAATTATTATGTGTGGTTCAAAATAAGGGATGTTTATACTCAAATTAATCACTATCTTACAAGAATTCCAGCAATGCAAGATATATTTTTGTAAGTCAAGTCAGTGACATTTTATAAGCAAAAAAATAAAACCCCTCTACCTTTCATAATCCCTAAGTACAGTATGCATTAATCTCCCCTCCTGGCTTTCAAAAACCCACCTCCACCCCCCTACCCCCTCCTCCCAGCCGGAGGGAGAAGGGTCCATTGGGGAGTAAAAGTGACAGTGCCACCTCCCCTTCCCCAAAGGGTTGCCTCACTGATTATCTACTGTACTGCCTCATTCATGATACAATATTGTTTATTTGTTTTTCATTAATTGGTACAAATACGTTACTGTAATAATCTGT